AAACCCTTTTTTCATTTCAAATACCCTTTTTATCAAATACCCTTTTTCTCAAAAACCCTTAAAGGGTTTATGCGGTTCTCCTAAACCCTTTAAGGGTTTAGGAAAATTTTCCGAATGTACTAGGGTTTCTTATTCTACGAATTATTTTTACAGTGCGGTTGCAAATACAGTGAAAAACGGAAACTAACTGAAGAATGCCGAACAGATGTCGAAGACAGGAAATAGTTGAAAATAGTGACAGAATATAAGATAGTACAGAACAAAAGGAACTAAAGGGATTAAAGGGCATAACTGCGCCGATACAAATGCAAGTTGTATTGCTCATCTACATCGTATCTATGTTACATTGTATCCAGATATACACCTATGGAAAACCTCCAATTCATGAATCATTTAACAGCATGTAACGGCATGTAACGGCATGTAACGGCATGTAACGGCATGTAACGACACGTATCGGCTTGTATCGGGGCTCTCTTACACTCTATCGAAATATATACCCCTGAAAAACCTAGAATTCATGAATCATGTAACGGCATGTAACGGTATGTATCGGCTTGTATCGGGGTTCTGTTACACTATATCCATATATATACCCCTGAAAAACCTATAATTCATGAAACATGTGACGTCATATATCGGCTTGTGTTGAGCATCCGTTACAATATATCGATATAATGAACCAGAGGCTCAATAGAAGCCGATACACACCGTTGCATGATTCATGAATTCTAGGGTTTTCAGGGATATATATATATATATGGAAACAATGTAACATAGATACGATGTCGATGGGCGATTCAAATTGTATCCGTATCGACGAACCCCTCTTAAAGGGACAAGACGGACTAGAGGGATTAAAGGGATTAAAGGGATTAAAGGGATTAAAGGGATTAAAGGGATTAAAGGGATTAGAGGGATTAAAGGGATTAGAGGGATTAAAGGGACTAGAAGTATGTATAGGAAATAGATGCTGTATATTTACAAAGGAAAGTTAGACCAAGATACTTTTAATTTCTTGTGGACCTATGGTCTAAAGTTAATACTCTTTTTGTGAAAAAGAAAATAACCTAATTATTAACATATCGGTATTTGTACGAAATAGAAGTTCATTTTTTATTGATGCAGCATTCCGCGGAAAGCAAAATTGTCGTCAGCCTTATTTGAAGTTAATATATTGGTTTGAAATGATGTCTGCGAAATATTGTATACGTCGGATGATATTCATGACAGCCGTGATTATACTTTTTTGGAACTATATTTTACAGGCTCCCCTATCTAATTTCGCAGAAAATAATTCGGTTGAGTTTGGTAAATATTGGCTAATTGAGCATTTAGATGAACAGTTAGGTAAAGCGAAATTTCATCTTTTTGAGCAGGTGGCAATATGTAATCTTCTGAATAGGACCCTTATATTACCAAACGTGGAGAACTCAGAAATAGGATTACGCTTGAGACACTCGTTCGATTACTATTATCAACCGGACAGTCTGACACATATTACTCGTGCGCTGTCAAGTGTAGAATTCACCAATCGTATAAAGGAAACTACCAGAAAAAAGGAATTAAAAGCTGTGTTGGTGTTTATTGGTCACTATAGTTGCCCTAGTGGCAATTCTTCCTGGGATAATGTTCACAGTGCTATTTTCAAGCATTTGTCAAGAAAATTTATTGTTATAAAACTGCGTCCGTTGTGCTTTTTAACTTCTTATGGATGGAACCCACCTGTTCTACCCGATGCAATTGTGAGTCGCCTTGCTGCCTCATATTATGATACAGATATTGTTGTAGCAATTAAACAATCTGCACTTTTCTTAATGGATCCGAACAAACTACCTGTTCATGTTCTGAAGCATAATCAAACGTTGATTGATATGGCAGAGAAATTTTCTGAAGCTCGTTCCCCGTATTTAGCCATCCATTGGAGAATGGAAGGTGGTGATGAAAACGGAGTAGTGTGTGCACATACACTACTTAAAACTGTTACAACCATCAGAAATACATCTCAATTCAAAAACATTTACTTTGCAACTGATCATCGTTTACCATCAGAGAGATTGTTATCAAACTCCTATGAAAATAGCCGCGCTGATCAAACCTCTGGTTATTGGCAAGTCATGGAAACACTAAAGCCACTAACATTCAGAAACGTCTCGTCCTTTTTGTCTTTGACGGATTCGGGAGCCCTCTCTATTGTGGAAAAGCTCGTTTGCCTAAAATCTGACTTCTTTCTTCCAGGTTACGTTCCATGCGATCGAAATGGTGCTTTTGGACGAGAAATGGTTAGAATTCGTCAAATGGTTTCAAGGAAACCATGGTTATACTGGAGTGATCCCTTGCAAACCTACGAACCGGAGAAGTTCCATCCATCATAAGCTTGCTTCAACGATAAGCTAAATGATCGAAAACACTCAACCGCCAGGGGAATAAAAACTGCCCACCCAGGTAAAATAAAGCTGTTAGCGCAATCCCTGTGGGATTAAAAATGTGAAACACAATATAGCTGATGCAAGTAAAGTCATGGAAGCAATTTAGATAGTATACAATTAATTCATACTACAAGATATGCTAAGGTGATTTTTAGCAAAAAATGTTGTCGAAGTATATCAAGATCAAGATGGTTGTCTCGTATTACTGCATATGTATTTTTTGTAAGGTGCAGGAAATGCAAAATTGCAGCACTTTTTATTTTTTTAATTTTTATACATTTTCAGGTACAACTTGACGTGCTGAATCCGAATATATACAGCATATTTGAAAAAACCTAGTGCATAGTAACGAAAAATCGGAAAAATTCAATTTTCGAAAAATATCACTTTTTTTTGAAGAACTTCCCCACAGTTCCTATTCAAAATTTACTGCAGTTTTAAAAGCTTGTTTTTCTGAATCTACATCTCAAAATGATCCTAAAAATGTCGTTTCGAGTGTTCTGACATCTACTTGTATGTTCGAGAAAATGCCATTTATATCATTTGCTCGTAATAGCCACTTCGTTTCATGAAAAATGCATCAAGTCATTTTTTAAATAATGATAAAGCTTTTCTTTCAACATCAGTATATTCATAATACCAGCCTTATAAAAAATACGCATTCTTTTTAATTAACTCCCTTTCGTTCTTGACTTATGGTCTTTACTTTCAGAAAATCTCAATACAAAATGCGAACTCATAAATTAATCGAGTATATCTCAAGGGGGAAAAAGCGAACTTCTGTACTTCTCGCACTTCTTGGTACTTCTCTGTACTTCTCTGTACTTCACTGTACTTCACCGTACTTCACTGTACTTCACTGTACTTCACTCTACTTCTGCTAACTTCAACCTTAGATTAAAATTTTTGTTTTTATTTTGCTTGAAACTTTATATTATGTCATTTATATTCTTCCGGCGATTAAAATAAAAGTGTGGACGACATGCATAAAATCAAGTTCTGTAAAGCAAAGTACAACATAAAGTCAAAACGAATACAACATGTAGCAAGCGAAAAGAACTAACAATATGCCGACTTTTCTGATTAGAAGCATCAGTGCTTTATTTTACTCATTTACGATGTTTACGCTTTTATTTGATTACATAATAATTCATAACAAAATTTGTAAAACAACAAGTGCTTAAAGAGTCTGGAAAACTGACACTAAGTAATAAAGATCTATGAATGAAAGAAAATATTGTAATAGTCTTTAGTATTTCATTTTTTTTTTTCCACAATTATATAAGCAAAAAAAAGCGTAGGCACGCGAACGACAATGAGAAGAAGAGAAGTAAATATATAAAAACTTCTCTAAGTGAAAAGTAGCAAACAAGCTTCAACTATAAAACAATTAAAAAAAGAGCGCAAAATACATGATTAAGTACGAGTTTTTTTTTATGTGACGATGATTGAGATAATGATTGATTACGTTTACGAGTTTTCTTTTGTGACAATGCGTTTTGTGTAGGTGCAGCAAATATATTTGTAACTGATGAAGGACCAATCGAAACAGGAAATGGTGCATCACATTGTAGTCCCGCTGTTGATAATGCATTTAATGTAATTGAAGTTGATGATGATAAAGTATTTGTGGATTCTTGCAGATGAACTTTACGTTGCTGCTGATTTAAGCTTACTATTGCTCGCATATGACTACAACTTGTAGAGCGTAAATGTTTTTGAAAATTACATAGCTGTATTTTTCCTTGGTTTATTGGTAACTTAATTAATCGATTACAGTTACATTTGATAGAAGCTTGAAGATCATTGTTTTGATCGTATAAAACATTTAAAATAAAATCTTTTCCTTCTTGTAAGTCAAAAGAATCTGACATGCACTCGTCCTTGTGATCTAAACACCATTTTTTCAATAAATTGAAGAAGTATCTTCTGTGCTCAACAGTAGATGTCAATATTGGATCAGAGGGCGATGTGGATATTGTTTGTTGTGTTGATGTAAATGTTGTAATCGGTGGGGTTGAAGTCAGTGTCTGTGGTGCTGTTACAGCTGTTGTAATGGGCGGTGTTGAACATGGTGAAGACGATGGTGCAATGTTGATTGGAATAGATGTTGTTGATAAACTTTAGTGTTTCGAATTTGTTTTAATTTTTCTTCGGTTTTTTTAATAATAAGTCTCGTAAGCATAAGAAACCGATTTTAAATCCTGGTTTGGCAATGAATGGCCCATTTGATAATGTGAAACATATTTTTCTTTTTAATATATTTAGATCATCATCATTAATATTCAGATTTAGTATATCACATGGATCATTTATTAACAAAAAGCACGGAACCGAATTGATTTGCTGTATTTTTAACAACAGCGATTGATATACTCCAAGACGCTGTTCAACAAATTCATAAAACATATCATCAACTAGTGTTAATACATTTGACGGTAAACATTTTGTTTCATGAAAAATATTTTCGGAAGACATTATTGAATGTTTGTTATCAACCTAATTTAATTTGAGCACCAGTTGCGTCACTAAAAATCGAAAAAAAACCTATTAATTTTGAATTAGAATGATGTAAAAATGAACAAACAATTAATCGTAAAGAAATGGCCAATTAGAAACTTTGTTGATTTTCTTTCCTTATACAGCATATATTAGATAATATCTCCTTTTATTGAATAGAAGTGGCATCTATAATATGAATAAGCGAATGATTCTATTTACTACTATGAATCAGAATCGAAAAAATTGCATGATGTTCAAAAATATATCAATTTTTCATTTAAAGTTTAAACCAACTGAGCATAAATTGTTTAGATATTCTAATTTTCTTTTGTAAAAGCCTTTAGCATGTGTTATCTTATGTTCAGTAAATTTCATCGTATTTTATTCAGAGTAATTAGAATGAATAATTGCATTTCAATATCAATTTTAGATTTAATAAAATGGATAATAGTTACAACACAATCAGAGTACCTGAAAATCTTTTAACTTTAAAAGGTGATGAATTTTTTCAGTTTATCAAACAATTAGGTGGTGAAATACTGTTTGAAATATTGTATATTCAATTAATTGATTCAACCGAAGCGTTAATGAAAACCAATAATATTCTCGATATGTTTCAATATGATTCACCAGATATAAATCGTTTACGAAACAAGATATGTTTCAGCACGGTCAATGGTGATTATGTTCTTAGAAGTGGAGTGAAAGCAATTTTGTTGTTGTTAACAAATATATTGAATGAAAAAAGAAAACAACTTGAAAATTCTATTATCTATCAGCACCAAGAACAAGAGCAAATTTACAGTAAAATAATTAATCAAAATCCATTATTAGAATCTCTGATTAACTTGTATCGGCAGAACGATACATTACACGATAATGAATCGGGATTTTTGAAATTATTTATTGATTGTATTATGAAAAATTTAAATAAATCATCGAATAATTATCGTTATTCTAAATCTGTTGAAGAATTTGCTATATCATTGTATATTCTTGGTAGTAAAATTACCTATGAATTTGTTAGATTGAACTTATCGCCTGCTTTACCTAGTATACAAAAATTAAATTAAATAATTTTTAATAGTGATCTCAAAATAAGTGAAGCACAATTTCTCTTTGATAAATTAAATGAATATCTTAATGGAATTGGCGTTACATATGCATTTGGTGCAGAGGATCGCACGGATATTATTCAAAAAATAAATTATGATCAAAGAACAAACTCATTTATTGGATTTTCTACTCCACTAGTTAATGGAATACCAGTTTCTAAGTACTATCAGACTGATTCTTTCGAAACATTAGAATCATGGTTCAATTCATCAGATAAAGCATCATTATTAAATATACATATGATACAGCCATTACCATTATCAAATAACTCAAGTATTCCATCTGCATTTCTACTCTCTGCTTACGCCGTTGTGAACACTTATACTTCCATTGATATTTTAAGACGGTGGCTATTTATTTTTGATAATTGTTTGCAGAGAAATATTCGGATTATTGGTTTCTCAACAGGTAGGGCCTTGTTTTTTATTATGTGGCTTCTTGTACACCTAGTTCGTTTAGATGGAGATGCAAAATATCTTCGAGCTATGAGGTTAGCAAGTGGATTTTTTTCATCATTACCGTATTTTAAATTAGAAGAACGCGATGCAGCATTTGATTTAACAGCGATAGTAACAAAATGGCCTTGGTTTTATTTGAGAGGTAGGCAGGTGCTATTATTTTTTCAAGACCCTATTCATTTAGCCACCAAGTGGAGAAATCGTTTGCTGTCTTCGACAGCTAGGCTTCGCTTCGGTGTGCAATCCATTTTAATGAAACATATAATTGATATTTTAGAAGATTCTGGTTATTCTAAATTAGATCATGGATTAACACTAAGTGATTTAAATCCAAAAGATAGACACAATTTAAAATCATTTACAAAAATAGTTACGAATGATGTTTTGTCTATATTAGCTGGTAATAGTGATACTTATGGAGCATACATTTATTTATATATGTTGCAAAATATAATATCGGCTTATATTGATAAAAGTGCAAATATTCAACAACGTGAGTATATTGATATCCAGTATAAAGTTGAAAATTTTTACAATCTTATACTTTTGTCTTAATCGTTGTTAGGTTTAAAATCTTCCTGGTTTATCGTATTCATATGTCGTTTGTGGTGGGCTTGGATTCAGCATAAAATTTTTATCCCGACAACAACTTCGACAACGACAAAAAGAAATAGAAAAGCAAACTTTTTTATTACCAAAACAGCGTACTTATCGGTAGAATTGAATGCTCATAATATATTATACATTGTTTTGCTAGTGAAACAAAAACAATTACCAAAAGAAGCATTGAACATCTATCTATTTAATTCACAATCTTGTGAATCAATGTTTCGTAATGCCAGATCATTAACTGGTGTTTATTCAACAAGGATTAACTTCACCGCTGCTGACTTTCTGAACCGCTCGAACAAGATTTCAATATTAAATCAAATCAAATGTGATCATTTATTGCAACAACATGAAAATGAACATTTATTATTTCGTATTCATCATAAGCACAAAGCTTATAATCGATTACTACCTTTAATAAATTCAGATGATGTTAATCAGCTTGATATTGAAAATATTATTTCTGAAGCGTATAATGAAGCAGTTAAATTAGTGGAACATTTAAAAGTATCAAAATTATTGCAGCACAATGACATATTCGATTTCAATTCATTAAGTACATACGTATTTCGGCAATTGAAATCAACTTCCAAGATGTTTGATTATTCGACAGAAATAATAGATGATCATGATAATGAATTTGATCTTGAAGATGAAGACGAAGAAGTAGAAAATGAAAATAGTGATGTCATGGATCAACTTGATGATAATGAACAGCTAAATGATGATCTGACTGATGACCAAGTTGATGATTACTATAAAATAATGACAAGAAAAACAGATATCATTGGCATGAAAATTTTTGATGAAATTGAAACTTGTCGACGAGACTCTTATTTTAAACTGAAAATTAATGACAACTACAAATATATTCATAAGCAATCAGCCTGTTGGCTATTAACGGATAAAAATCTCCGTTTATCAAATGACCGACTTTCTCGAGTTATTCAATCAAGTTGCAGATAAAATAGCATTCTTGACTAGCTTTTATGTACCGATTTTTGTTTATAAATAAATTTAAACAAACTTCAAAGTCAAAACTATTTTATTTATGTATAAATATAATCCTGTTTTTCTTTCCTATTTGTAAGTCTTCGTATTTAACTGTACTACGTGAGATTTTTCAATGTTTTTAGGACTTCCTACTGATTCTTGGGACTTCTTTGTACTTTTTGATACTTCTCGGTACTTCTTGGTACTTCTCTGTACTTCTCTGTACTTCTCTGTACTTCTTGGTACTTCTCGGTACTTCTTGGTACTTCTCGGCACTTCTCCGTACTTCTCATACTTTTGTACTTCGGAAGTACAGAAGTTTCGCTTTTTCCCCCTTGGTATACTTGATTCAAAGTTTATCTCTTCGCGTTTTTATTCATTAAAAACGATTAAAAATTGAATAAAAGCAATGTTTGAATCTTTTTTGAAATGACTTAAAAGCTGAAACTTCTGCTTTTCGCTGTCTGTCACTTTTTTTCTTAAATGAAATTGTAGTAGTTGATATTCGCTCCTATAATTATTTCATGGAGGCTCAGTAAAGTATTTCTATTGGTAAATGAATCGTCCCGTATTCACTACGCTATTAGAAGAATTACTTGAAGTAAAATTAAACCATTAAAAATTTATAGAAAAAGTTTCGAGAAAAATCTTGTAATTTTTAAAGCTCTTAGTTTCGTGAAATTTTTTATTTGTTTTGATGCCACAAAAATCGAAAAGAAAATCTCAGGCAATGGCTGCTGCAAAAAGAAGGTGGACATCTGAAACATTCGAACAGTCAGATAATGACAATTCGGAAGAGTATTTAATGAATTTGAGCAATTTGAGCGCACATGAACAAGAAGAATTCTTATTAAAGGACAAAATCAACATAGATGACTGGTGGTTTATTTGAAATACTGAAAAAGCAGGTTACTACACGATCATTATCGGTGTTAATTTATTCATCATTAACATATTTTGGTGTATCTTGGAGAAAAGCGGATTTATTTTGAAGACAAATCGGTTCACTTGGTGCTAGAACTTGTCACAAATGGAGTGAAATTTTTATTAGTGGTGATCTAGATGAGTTTCTTGAAGATGGTGGAGGTGGCAAACGAGAACCAGGTTTCTTCGACGTTTTTCCAGAACTAGAAAATATGGCGAAATTATACGCTTTGGAAGGGTGTCAGAGGAAAGCAGCATCATTTACTTCTTTAGAATTAGCTCAATATGTGGATAAACAATACTATGATTTTACAGGAGAGGTGAGAGAATTCGAAAATTTTAATACGAGTTGAGAAGAAATGTTTTTGTTTGCTTAATAGTTGTCTAGTTGTTTTTTTATTTCATAGACAAAGGTTACCAATGATTTGATTAGATCAGAAAAAGCCTGTAGACTAGATCTTCGTCGGTGGGGCTGCAGATTTGAAAAGAACACAGCCAAGCCATATTGGGCCGGAGACGAACGAAGTGATGTTGTTGAAGCCCGAAAACAATTTGTTCAATATTTTTTAACTAAAAAAGGCAGCTAGTATTTGATCAGTGAAGGTGATAATCCGGATTGGATCATTCCACAAAATAATCCTACGATTTTGCTATGTATGTGTCTCATCTACTTGAGTTCTCAATCACTGGGCGTCTGACGTTTATATTCTGATTTAGTTCATGATGAATCTTGCTTCAGGAGCGGGGAGACAACAGTCAAACGTTGGTTTTTTTCGGAACAAACCATGCCGTTTTTTAGTAAAGGACGTGGGTGATCACTCATGTTATCGGATTTTTTAGTTTCCCATCCAGAAAACCCATTTTTTCAACTATCACAGTCTGAGTGGGCGGCAGCAACTGCAAAATATTCAGAATTATTGGAAGAGAATAATATCGAATACATTGACAGATCGGCTTCAGCATCAATTCAAGTTGGTAATGGAGCTTATTTTGATAATGACGCTGTGCTTAGTCAATTTACTCGCTTGTTCAAAATGTTGCCGTTCAAGCAAGCATATAAAAATAAGGTTATAATTATTATAGTCGATAATGCACGCACACACAGTGCTAAAGAATTTTCATTAGAAGATTTTGGTATGAAACCAGGTACCCGTTGCCCCATTGATCAAATTCTATACAACGGTGAGATGGGGCAACATCAAAAACTTGACTGCTGTTTTACCAGTGGCAGACACAAAGGCAAATCGAAAGGACTTCTCATTTTAGCGGAAGAACTAAAGATCCAAGTACCACCTAAAACTAGTTTAGACCATTTGAAACAATTATTAAGTTCTCACAATGCTTTTCAAAATGTAAGACTATTTTTTGTCTTTTACTTTTACATTTTTGACTTCACTGTCTTCGAAAACATTTCAGAAATCAAAGCTTGAAACACTTGCAAAACAATATGGAGTTAAAATTATATTTTCGCCTAAATTTGATTGTGAACTCAATTGTATCGAGGGTTTGTGGGCACATCAAAGACAATTTGTCAGAAACAGAACAGATCAAACCTTTCCTACAATGTTGACGCTTATTAAAGACTCCAGAAATAAGTTTATCGAAAAAAACGATGCTATGAAACTACTCAGAAGGTTCTGGCGAACGTTGGAGGCGTATGATCGAGGGGATTCTTATGAAGAAGTAATGAAGCTGTATTTCAGTTCGTTGTGCAAAAATGGTGTTTATCATCGTCGTCGTATCACAAATTCAAATTTACAAGATTCGGGACAATAGTTTTTTTTCGAACCACCATAGTTTGCTTATGCATGTCCGATAAAAATCATAACCATTTAACCCTAACCAGGTGTTACAAAGATTATCCAAACACTAATAAAATATCACATTAGTTATCTCCGCAATATTGTCATTTCATTAAAGAAAAAAAGTGACAGACAGCGAAAAGCAGAAGTTTCAGCTTTTAAGTCATTTCAAAAAAGATTCAAGCATTGCTTTCATTCAATTTTTAATCGCTTTTAATGAATAAAAACGCGCACAGATAAACTTTGAATCAGGTATACTCGATTAATTTATGAGTTCGCATTTTGTATTGAGATTTTCTGAAAGTAAAGACCATAAGTCAAGAACGAAAGGGAGTTAATTAAAAAGAATGCGTATTTTTTATAAGGCTGGTATTATGAATATACTGATGTTGAAAGAAAAGCTTTATCATTATTTAAAAAATGACTTGATGCATTTTTCATGAAACGAAGTGGCTATTACGAGCAAATGATATAAATGGCATTTTCTCGAACATACAAGTAGATGTCAGAACACTCGAAACGACATTTTTAGGATCATTTTGAGATGTAGATTCAGAAAAACAAGCTTTTAAAACTGCAGTAAATTTTGAATAGGAACTGTGGGGAAGTTCTTCAAAAAAAAGTGATATTTTTCGAAAATTGAATTTTTCCGATTTTTCGTTACTATGCACTAGGTTTTTTCAAATATGCTGTATATATTCGGATTCAGCACGTCAAGTTGTACCTGAAAATGTATAAAAATTAAAAAAATAAAAAGTGCTGCAATTTTGCATTTCCTGCACCTTACAAAAAATACATATGCAGTAATACGAGACAACCATCTTGATCTTGATATACTTCGACAACATTTTTTGCTAAAAATCACCTTAGCATATCTTGTAGTATGAATTAATTGTATACTATCTAAATTGCTTCCATGACTTTACTTGCATCAGCTATATTGTGTTTCACATTTTTAATCCCACAGGGATTGCGCTAACAGCTTTATTTTACCTGGGTGGGCAGTTTTTATTCCCCTGGCGGTTGAGTGTTTTCGATCATTTAGCTTATCGTTGAAGCAAGCTTATGATGGATGGAACTTCTCCGGTTCGTAGGTTTGCAAGGGATCACTCCAGTATAACCATGGTTTCCTTGAAACCATTTGACGAATTCTAACCATTTCTCGTCCAAAAGCACCATTTCGATCGCATGGAACGTAACCTGGAAGAAAGAAGTCAGATTTTAGGCAAACGAGCTTTTCCACAATAGAGAGGGCTCCCGAATCCGTCAAAGACAAAAAGGACGAGACGTTTCTGAATGTTAGTGGCTTTAGTGTTTCCATGACTTGCCAATAACCAGAGGTTTGATCAGCGCGGCTATTTTCATAGGAGTTTGATAACAATCTCTCTGATGGTAAACGATGATCAGTTGCAAAGTAAATGTTTTTGAATTGAGATGTATTTCTGATGGTTGTAACAGTTTTAAGTAGTGTATGTGCACACACTACTCCGTTTTCATCACCACCTTCCATTCTCCAATGGATGGCTAAATACGGGGAACGAGCTTCAGAAAATTTCTCTGCCATATCAATCAACGTTTGATTATGCTTCAGAACATGAACAGGTAGTTTGTTCGGATCCATTAAGAAAAGTGCAGATTGTTTAATTGCTACAACAATATCTGTATCATAATATGAGGCAGCAAGGCGACTCACAATTGCATCGGGTAGAACAGGTGGGTTCCATCCATAAGAAGTTAAAAAGCACAACGGACGCAGTTTTATAACAATAAATTTTCTTGACAAATGCTTGAAAATAGCACTGTGAACATTATCCCAGGAAGAATTGCCACTAGGGCAACTATAGTGACCAATAAACACCAACACAGCTTTTAATTCCTTTTTTCTGGTAGTTTCCTTTATACGATTGGTGAATTCTACACTTGACAGCGCACGAGTAATATGTGTCAGACTGTCCGGTTGATAATAGTAATCGAACGAGTGTCTCAAGCGTAATCCTATTTCTGAGTTCTCCACGTTTGGTAATATAAGGGTCCTATTCAGAAGATTACATATTGCCACCTGCTCAAAAAGATGAAATTTCGCTTTACCTAACTGTTCATCTAAATGCTCAATTAGCCAATATTTACCAAACTCAACCGAATTATTTTCTGCGAAATTAGATAGGGGAGCCTGTAAAATATAGTTCCAAAAAAGTATAATCACGGCTGTCATGAATATCATCCGACGTATACAATATTTCGCAGACATCATTTCAAACCAATATATTAACTTCAAATAAGGCTGACGACAATTTTGCTTTCCGCGGAATGCTGCATCAATAAAAAATGAACTTCTATTTCGTACAAATACCGATATGTTAATAATTAGGTTATTTTCTTTTTCACAAAAAGAGTATTAACTTTAGACCATAGGTCCACAAGAAATTAAAAGTATCTTGGTCTAACTTTCCTTTGTAAATATACAGCATCTATTTCCTATACATACTTCTAGTCCCTTTAATCCCTCTAATCCCTTTAATCCCTCTAATCCCTTTAATCCCTTTAATCCCTTTAATCCCTTTAATCCCTTTAATCCCTTTAATCCCTCTAGTCCGTCTTGTCCCTTTAAGAGGGGTTCGTCGATACGGATACAATTTGAATCGCCCATCGACATCGTATCTATGTTACATTGTTTCCATATATATATATATATCCCTGAAAACCCTAGAATTCATGAATCATGCAACGGTGTGTATCGGCTTCTATTGAGCCTCTGGTTCATTATATCGATATATTGTAACGGATGCTCAACACAAGCCGATATATGACGTCACATGTTTCATGAATTATAGGTTTTTCAGGGGTATATATATGGATATAGTGTAACAGAACCCCGATACAAGCCGATACATACCGTTACATGCCGTTACATGATTCATGAATTCTAGGTTTTTCAGGGGTATATATTTCGATAGAGTGTAAGAGAGCCCCGATACAAGCCGATACGTGTCGTTACATGCCGTTACATGCCGTTACATGCCGTTACATGCCGTTACATGCTGTTAAATGATTCATGAATTGGAGGTTTTCCATAGGTGTATATCTGGATACAATGTAACATAGATACGATGTAGATGAGCAATACAACTTGCATTTGTATCGGCGCAGTTATGCCCTTTAATCCCTTTAGTTCCTTTTGTTCTGTACTATCTTATATTCTGTCACTATTTTCAACTATTTCCTGTCTTCGACATCTGTTCGGCATTCTTCAGTTAGTTTCCGTTTTTCACTGTATTTGCAACCGCACTGTAAAAATAATTCGTAGAATAAGAAACCCTAGTACATTCGGAAAATTTTCCTAAACCCTTAAAGGGTTTAGGAGAACCGCATAAACCCTTTAAGGGTTTTTGAGAAAAAGGGTATTTGATAAAAAGGGTATTTGAAATGAAAAAAGGGTTT